AGGAGCTATTACATAGAGGCGAAATGGTATAAGGCAAAATATGTGCCTACATTTGAGGAATATATGGTGAATGCTAGAATCACTAGGGCAACTCAAATCATACTCTCACCTCATTGATGGGAATGGAAGAAATTCGAGAAGAAAAACCATTTAGACAAATATTGCAAGCTCCTAAGGCCATTACAACATGCGAAGTTATTGGTCGTCTCATGGATGACATTGTTACACGCGAGGTATGTTGTATTTACTTAGTCATGTCTTGTAAACAACTGTTATTATGAATATATTGTTGGATTCATCTTAATATAGATTTTTAAATATTATACTTTGTATATATTTATTACTAATTATGATGGATAATATTTCTTAAAACTATTTATAAATAGCCAAATAGGAAAGTCAATTCTTGAAATATGTACCTTCGGTCTTCAAGAAACACTTTGAGTTACATTTGATTATAAAATATTTCGTATTTTTTGAATTTGAGTTGGAATGTCTTTATTAGCCATGAACTAATGCACCTGATTAACTCGAGGAAGAATTCGAATTTTACAGCAGTGAAGATTGATATGTCCAAAGCTTATGATAGGGTGGACTGCCTCTTTCTCATGAAGATCTTGCAGGCTTACGGTTTTTCCAGCCATTGGATTAGGATGCTTTCACAGTGCTTCACGACGGTGAGTTACAAAACAGTCATCAACAGGAATGTATCTAGGCACTTTGTTCCAAAGTGTGGTTTGAGACAAGGGGACCCCCTCTCCCCGTATCTGTTTATCTTCTGTATGGATAATCTATCGAGGATGCTGACCCTGGCAAAAGACATTAATCAATTCCATGGTTTGAAAGTGTCTAAGCTAGGAGATCTCCTTCGATCTCTCATCTCTTCTTTGCAGATGATGCTATGTTATTTTTTAAAGCAACGAAGGAGTCTTGCTTGTGCATTTCTGATATACTTCTTAGGTTTGGCAAAGCTTCCGGGCAACAACTAAATCTCCAGAAATCTGCGATAAAATTCTCTCCGGGTTTTGACAACGACGAGAAATTGATTGTGAAACAATCTTTATCAATGCCTTAAACAAGTAACATGGGAATCCATCTGGGAGCCCCGATAGACATCCAAGGGAAGAAAATCCCTCACTTCCAATTCTTAGTGGACAAGGTGTCGGAAAAAATCACATCATGGGTATCTCTTCATCTGTCACAACCGGCAAAATTAATCATTATAAATACAGTACTGGTAAGCATGTCTTCTCATGCTATGAAGTGTTTGAAACTACCTCAGAGTATTGCAAACAAAATTGATTCGTTGACCACTCGGTTTTGGTGGGCCACAAAGGGTCATAAAGGTTTACATGCATTGGGTGAGTAGGGGCGTCACGCAGCTTCCTAAGGGCATGGGTGGCCTAGGAATTAGGGGCTCTTCTATCCTCAATAATGCTCTTATTTTCAAACAAGCCACCAGGATGCACCTCAACCCCCAGCTTCACCTTTCTAGAGTCCATCGAGGTCTGCAAGAGTGTGGTATTTGCAACATCGCATGCCCCTATATAAGAAGAGGGTCCCCATCTATGGGGAGGGCTAGCATTCAAAAGGTTGCTCGAATCTTCAAGGATGGTTTTGCTTGGAAGGTTGGGGATGGAAGAAACATCTCGGCAATAAGTATGTCTTGGGTGAAAGGAGAAATCCCTCTAGTGAAATCAGGCCAAACTCTGAGGAACGCTTCGGAATGGAAAGTAAGTGATTTCATTGACAGGGAGACCATTACTTGGAAAGCAGGGAAGGTTAGGGAGTGTTTTGAATGGGACCGGGCTAAAGCAATTCTTTCATTGGAACTGCCACATGCAAGTGAGGATGATTTTCTATACTGGAAATACCATCCATCGGAAAAGTATACAGTTAAATCAGGGTACTACTACCTGTTAAAGGACCTTGGGTTAGAGAGTACGACCTTCTTGGCTAGGGATCAGGGCTTCATCAAGCTAATATGGAGAATGGATATTCAACCAAAGTGGAAACTCTTTATGTGGAGGCTCTTCCATGATGGTATAGCAGTCAAAGTTAACCTAGCTAAGAGGGGTGTTCTAGTGGACACTGTGTGTGACCACTGTAGGGCTGGCAATGAGGATAGCCAACATCTCTTTATGTTTTGTACTCAGGGAAAGGAATTTTAGGAAACTAGATCCCTAAATACTTGCCTTGACTCTTCTGAATCCATCTCTCTAAAAAGATGGATTCAACACTATATCCTGCTTTTTTATAGCGAGGATGGTAAGCATGGTACCCGTCATGCTTTGTTCATTGTAACTCTTTGGGGTTTATGGAAAACGAGGAATGAAAGATGTTTCAAGGAAGTGGAAGGGACGACAAGCCGAGTAAGGGAATTCATAAACCTTACTATGAACGATCATGAGACCTTTTTAAATCATGCTAGTACGGTAAATGAATCTGAGGCTACGAGAAGGGATGACCCAGATATTCCACCGGGGTTCAATCATGTCCACTTAGGGAAGGTAAAGGGCGGTTTTGATGACTTTGTTATAGAAGCAGATGGCTCTTAGGATAAGAATACTACAAGGGTAGGGGTAGGGTGGGCTGTTAGGGTCAACAACAAAGGATATGCCCTTGAAGAGGGAAGATGCCATGGAGTAGCAGCGTCCGTCATTCAATGTGAAGCTTGGGCTTGCCTGGAAGCAATGAAATGGGCTCGTGCTAAAGGGAGGCAGGGAATCCTTATCTTTTCGAACTCCACTTCTTTGTTGAATAATTTGCAGGGTGAGATGGGAAAGGATGTCTCGATAACATGGATTATCAAGGAGTTAAGGAAAGTAGGGGCGGTCCAGAAGAGAGGAGGTTCAAAGAGCTAATGACATTGCTAGACAATGCCGAGTTAACCTTCCGTTTTAGTTGTTTTTTCTTGTTACAGTCCGCTTTCTTTTGCTGTTGTCAAAAAAAAAATTGAATCATATATATCTGATTTCTATTAATCATAAAATACTTTTACAAACATTGTAAAATAGGAGGAGCAAGCTAGAGGTCGTGTTGCTTCGGGAGTGGAAAGCTACATGAAAGACTACAAAATGAGCAGGGAAGAAGTGGTACAAATATTTAAGAAAGTGATTGAAGATTCATGGAGAGAATTGAATGAAGAGATCTTAATCAAGTCTAACCCAAGTTATGGTGACCTCCCAAAGCCTGTTCTCCAACGCTTCTCAACCTCGCCCGTGTGTTGGATTCCCTCTACAAGGTCATCGATGGATACACTCATTCGGCCAAAATCATCAAGGAAGACATAATCTCTACCTATACTCAATCTGTTTCTATTTAAAGAAATTGAACAACATTTGCTTGTTACCAAATAAGTTTATACATTCTATTGTTTCATGAATTGAATAAGGTACCACGTCTTTTAGAAACAATATCTCTGATGGTTTAGACTAGATATATGAAAGATCCATTTTATTGTTTAATCCAAACTTACGCTCTTTTGACATTTGTTTGGTAATTATATGTTTTTTTTTTGGTATAATGATGTAGAACATATTCAATCCCAAGTAGTCTTGAGAGTGGATATCACCTCCAAGACCTTAACCAACTAAGTTAGTTGACATCCACTAAAAATATTGTTGTTACTTCTTAGTGAGTTTATTATTGTGTGCTGATAAATGTTTAAGTGCCGTTTAAAGAAGTTGTGATTTGTTTATCAATAATATATATTTAATCATTAAGTAGTATTAATATTTCTATCCATAATTGATTATACTTTTAGGCAATGGCGAAGCTAGCAATCTTTTCAAATGGGTTCAAATAACTTTTTTATCAAACTTATAAATTTATAATCAGACAGGGCATCGCCTTGGCCAATAACTAGTTAAGTTTTTAAATCTAGACATTAATCAATAATAAAATAAACATCCAAGATCAAGTATCGCCACAAGTACATACTATCAATGCAATTATAATTCTTCCCCTAATTTATTATTCAAATTGACACGAAGAAAAACATTCCCTATAAGTCCCAAAGATCTCATCATATCCGAGTTGTCAATGACTTTCCGAATTAAATATCAAATCTACTTCCATGGAATCAAGTAAATTAGGGACATTAAACTCAATACTCTAACTTCCTAATCCTTCATTCTATCTAGTAATATATGTGGAGAATTCAATAAGAGGATAACAATATCAGTTATTCTTAATTTAGTATTGCCATAATAAGCACATTACAATCAATTATCCATGCAATGTCGATTAGTCAGTTATTGGAGAATTTAAAGATATAATTCAAGCATTGATCACATTCAGGTTTCGCTTAACCTCGGATTAAGAAACTAATCACACATTTTAACAAAAGCAAGAACTATATTCATTGAAGAAACTATGATTAATAAACAATTAACGTGAAAGAAAGAGAATAGATGAATACCAAATGCTTTAATCAACCCTCCCATTTAATGAATAACATAGAAATGTACAAGAATTTCAAAATCCTTAGAATTAGAAGTATGAGAAGCTATCTAGATGACATAATTATAATAAAACTTGATGCATTTTCTTATACTTATCGCCTCTTTGGATAAGTGAAACTTTTTTCGATCCACATAACAACTTAATTTATTTCTTAGAAATTGAAAATTTAAGAGCAAACAAAATAATACATATAATGAAACTTGCCATGTTTAACTTAAAAATGACCACTAAGATGTAAAATTGTCCTTTACAAAGACCAAAAGACCTAAAAACCACTCCATATTTCAAGTTAGCCTCCCTTTCCAAAGAGAAAGACAAAAGAAGACTCCCAAATAGTAGACGTTATAGTAGACCAAAAAAGAAGTCATAAAATAGAAAAAAAAAAAAAAAAAAAAAAAACTCAAACTTCAAATCAAAAACTAAAAAAAAAAAAAAAAAAAAAAAAAAACACTCAAAAGCACAAAACCCAACAAATCCCTAACCGTTTACTCCCAAAACTCGAACGTTAAAAAGACAATCAACGTTGTCCCCACGCCAACACAAAACAAACAAACAAACCCCACTTTTATTACTTACTTAAACCCCTCAACCTTCACTCCCAACAACACTCTTCTTCAACTCTCACATTTTTCCTCTGTTTTCCTTTTTTCTTGATTTTTTCTACTTCAATCAGCATTAAATTAAGACCCCAGATAATATTTTCAACAATTAAGGCCAAAAAATCAAAAGGGTCAATTTTATTTTGGGTTTTTCTTTGTGGGTTTTTTTTTTTTATTGATTGATTGAAAATGGGGGACGAAGAAACCCTAGGATTTGGGGATTCAGGAAAATTGAAGGGTGAAATTGATACTTCAGCGCCATTTGAGTCTGTTAAAGAAGCTGTCACTAAGTTTGGTGGGCTTGGATTTTGGAAGCCTGTTTCCAATTTACATAAATCCACTCATTCTTTTCTGGTAAATTCTAGCTCTAATTTTGTTTTTTTAGTTGTTATTGTTCAGTTTTGTTGTAAAGATTTGTTGTGAATTTGTTTCATATGTTTTTTGTATTGTTTAAATTTTATGGGTTTTTTTGTTCAGAATTAAAAGATTAAGAATTTGATGGAGTAAAATGTATGTATTCCTATATGTTTGTGTAAGTGGATTTTTGTGGACGCGAGCTAGCTTAGCTGGTTAAAGTCGTGAGGACGCCCGTCCGGGTCTTGGTATATGTGAATTTGTGATCATATAAATTTAAGTGTTAACATAATTGTTGGTTTTATGGTGTAAATGTGTAATTAATTTCTCTTTTTTTTGTAGTTGGGTTTAATTTTAATATGTTAGTTATGGAAGACGTGAAGGAATAAAGTGTTCATTAGTGTAGGAGTCAATTGCATTTAAATTTTCAATTAAGGAGGAAAGTGAATTCTTTAGGTTGGATGGTTGAAAATATTCAAAGTGGTTGGTTTTTCCTGGTTGAGTACATTTGAATTCCTATGAATTGGTTTGTGGGACCCATATATAATTGATGATGGATTACATTGATTCATTTTAGTATGATCTTATATTAGCAATGTCTAGCTTTGAGGAGAAATGACGAATATAGGCTGTTCGATACTTCATGTTGGTATATTGAGAGAAAATCGATTGAGGTTGGATGTAAAGATGTTATTCCTGTTAGACATTTTGATAGGAATGAGTGGTGTGTAGAAAACTAGTTAAAAGTGGTAGTGTGGAACTAGGTGGTGCTACTACAAAGAGGAAAGTGATTACTGTTGGCAGGATAGCCAAAAAGTGAAAGGGTAAGGATTTGTGTAGGACACTTAGTAGTATGGCTGTTTACATTAGTCGATGCAGGACATACACGGTGGTTGATTAACGGAAGAACATTGCCATACTATGGTTGTGTTTCATCATTTTCCAGCTTTGAGACGTAATGGCAAATCTGGATGTTCAATATATCATTATTCAAAATATAATTCAATAAAAATCATGTCTTAGGGTGGGAAGTAGATGAAATGCTTCTGTTATTGAAATTAATTGAAGGGTGGTGTACTGGTGTGTTAATGGTTTATCAACTCAACATTAACTCAAACGGATTAAATCAACTAATGGGTAAAAATCAGAAAGACTGTTAGCATATAGCATGTTATTTTAACCAATACTTGGACTGTTGGACATATATCTCGTTGAATGAAGTCCAGAATATATGGAAGCTGAAGTTCAATTAGTGCCCAAATAGGTATGTTTTTTAGGATCATACGATTTGCTTTGTGGAAGTAGTTGGTGTATCCAATGTAATAGTGATAAATTATTGAGCTGAATTGTATAATGATGTTTGTTGTTCTACTATTATCTATATGCCAAATCTTGGTGCATTCTTCTGATTTTGAAAAGAAAACACAGTTCTAACTTTTTTATTTTAAATTAAAATATTATAGCCGGGTGATGTGGAGGAAATTGATGTAGCAAAAGTGGAAGAACAAGCAGCCGAATTGGAGAAAGAGCTGATCTTGAAAGAAAAAGATACATTTGAGGTTTTAAAAGAACTCGAAGCAACCAAGAGGATTGTTGAGGAACTCAAGTCGAAGCTACAAAAGGAAGAATTTGAGGCCCAAGTGAATGTTAGTGTTGATGAGAAGCCATCTGTTGTGAAAGAAGAAAAAGAAGAGGAAGAGAAGGAGAATAATCCTAATCTCTCAGCTCAGAAGCTTCCAGAAGGTTCAAACCTTGTACCATCATCAACCCCGGGTTTGATATTGATGGAACTTAAACAGGCTAAGTTGAACCTTACCAAGACAACGAGTGATCTAGCTGAAATTCGAGTATCTGTGGAATCTTACAACAAGAAGATAGAGCGAGAAAGGATGTCCTTGGAGAAAACCCGTGAAAGACTGAGATCGAACACATTGAAGGTTTCTTCTCTTGAAGAAGAGATAAACCACAAAAAATCTATATTGGAAGATGCCAGGGAAGCTAACAACGGTAGCAAGGACATTGCAGCGGAGCTTCAACGGTTGAGCGATGAGGCAGAAGATTTCAAGAAGAAGGGAGAGACTGCAAAGTCTGAAGTCATGAAGGTCATGTCAGAGATTGAACAAACAAAGGCTAAGGTAAAGACAGCCGAGATAAGATTGGTTGCTGCTAGAAAAATGAAGTTAGCAGCGAAGGCTGCTGAAGCTGTTGCTCTTGCTGAGATCAAGGCTATAGAGCAGAGCGAGAATTCAACTACTGAGGAAAACCTGGAAAAAATAACCCTTACTCTTGAAGAATACTCTTCCTTGAAAAGCAAGGCTCAAGATGCCGAAGAAAGTTGCAATATAAAAGCCCTTGAGGCAGCACTTCAAGTTGATGAGGCAAATGTATCGAAAATGGATATTATGAAGAGGGTAGAAGAAGCCATGGACGAAGTTGAAACTTCTAAACAGGCATTGGAAGATGCTTTGAACCGAGTTGAGGCTGCCAATAGGGCTAAGCTTGGTGTTGAGGAGGCTCTTCGGAAGTGGAGATCTGAGCATGGAGAGCGAAGACGTTCCATACAAAACTCAACCAAATTTAAGAATCCTTGTCCTTCAAACCGAAGGAGAGATTCTTGGGTGCTTGATGTGAATGGTGTTAATCTAGTAAGTGATGCGAAAGCCCCAGTCTTAAAGTCAACTTTGTCAATCGGGCAAATACTTAGCCAGAAGTTGCTCATCACCGAAGAATATGAATCAGGGAAAAGTAATGTTAAACGGAAGGTTTCATTGGGTCAGATGCTCGGGAAACAGAATGCTGTCATATCCTCTGCTTGGAAGGTTGAGAGTGACTGTGGGGGTTCTCAAAAACAGCTGCCTGCCAAAAGGAAGAAGCTTGGATTCGGTCGATTTTCAATGCTTTTGCCCAAGCAAAGCAAGAAAAAGAAGAAGCCCACTTCCGCGGCAAGGTAACAAAAATGCAATACAAGAATTGCTCGTTAGTTTATGGCATATCTGTATGTTTATGTATTACCATTATGTTTCTTGTACTATAATTCTAATTGTCTAGATTTACTACCTGTCCTTATGTCTCTATTGAGTACTTACCATGTATTAGCTCGGGCCATGCTTCTTTGTAATATAAAAGCTAAGCATTCTTATGTTACATGTATGTTTCTGCCTCAGAAATTTGCCGAGTTTGATGGTAAAATTGATTTACTACATTCGTTTCAAATTATTTGCAACGATTTGTCATAAAATGTGAGTAGAAAAAATCTAATCGTTACAAATAATTTGAAACGGAAATAGCATGATAACAGTGATACTGTATAGTGTTAGGGTCAGCCCGTCAGCATGCATAGTGAAATATAGCCGTTAGACCCTTTTTGTTTTCTATTATTATGGTGGATTGGTGGTAAAGTAGCCGTTAGTCATAAAAAAAAAAGAAGAGATTTGTTAATGTGCCATGTAAGCAGAATTTGCGGCTTTACTGCATGCCATGTAGGATATAGAGTAGCCGTTCGACTACATGACTAAAATGTTGTCTCTTGTGCTCTTTTTTTTTAATCATTACTGTATTTTATATACATAAAACAGTGAACTATGGATGGCAAAGCAAAGCAATTGCCATGTGTTGTAACAAATATTACATTACTTGATGTTACATTAAATAACAAATATTAGGAAGTATTCCGTATGTTTTAGGAAAATGTTAAACGTACAATAAGTTGCCTAGTGTAGATGTTAAAAAACATGGTAAAACCAAACGGTGTGTCAATTTGTGACGAAATCATATATCGATCAATATTATTCAGTACATGTACTTGGTGTTATGCAGTACATGTAAGGGTGAGCATAACAGGTTACCCTGTAAAAATTCTTGGAACCGGAACTCAAAATGAAAATCGGAACTTGTTGACAGGTTCCTGGAATTTGGGAATCGGAACCTAAACCTATAGAGTTCGGTTCCGATTCAGGGTACCTTGTCTTGTAATATACTTACTAACTTTTGCAGATTTTTTAATAAAAAAACTAGTTGGTCACTAATTTATAATGTTTACAACTCGCAAAATAAACAAACTAATAGTAGTTGTTTAAAATTTAATACGTATATTTATAATTGTGATTTTAATATTTATTATTTAAAAAATAAGTTAGAATTTGTGTATTATTTAAAATTAAGTAATACTTTTAACATGTTACAGGGTACCCTACAGGTTCCAATTCCATAAATTGAGAATATGAACAGGAACCTGTTGCAACAAGTTCTCCATTTTGCTACCTGGAACTGGAACCTCTTGTGCAAGTTCAGATACCTGCGGTTCCTAACAGGTTCCGGTTCCGATTCAGGGTACCTTGATTTTTTGCTCACCCCTTAGTACATGTGTATATGTGATGAAGATTGAAGATGGTGTAATATTAGATTTTCATGCTATTGAGTATCACCCTTCTTGATCATAGACGTCGCAGTAAAATGTTCAGCATAATAAAACTGTGTTTGTTATAATTGAAGCTTCTTCAAAACAAAGATATATAATATTGTACCCTCTTTTTAGCTGAAAATATGGAATAACTAACTATATATATACTCTTACCAAGTTAGCATGGTAGCCTGAATTAGTAAGTGATACAATTAAAATTAACAAAAAATTGTGTGAAAGTAGTAAAGATTGAAGCTGGGCTCTGAAAGATAAATCATCTTATTCAGTGTCACCGGGTGGTTCATCTGTTAGCTCATTAGCCTTGCTCTTTTTAGTTGTAATGCACACTGATGACTCCACCTTGTTGTTTCGTTTAAATTCTTACTTAGTTTTATATTGGATGATGGAAGTCAAAATGAATAGTCAATGTTTATTTAATATGCTAATATGCTTAGTTTATTTATCTTAGTTTATTTTATGATTCTGTCAAATTATATTCGAATATATCATGCTAAGTATGCTAACCTATTCGTATATTCTGCTATAAGCATGTTTATGTTTTTATTATTCGTTAAGTAACTGATTTTATCTTTATGTTTCAAAGATAATATTTTCTGTCAAATGTATTTATTTATCTAGCTTATTATTTATCTTATTTGGTTGTTGAATTTTTCTGAATATGATAAGATTTCTGTTTAAGATAAATATTGTTGTTACTTGTGCTTGCTGACCTGGTTTTTAGGAAGCTAAGTATGCTGTAACAGATTTCTAGCTGGAAGATAAACGTTGAATTTAAAAGCAGCTTTGAAGTTTGAATTTGAAAGCTTCGAAATTTCTGGAGTTTGTTGAAGACCCAGAGACTGTTGGCAACGTTTTAAAGTCAGCTTCAAAGCCTTATAAATAGCATGAAGATCAGCCGGTTTTATCATCCAAGTTTTTCAAGAAGTCTTGTGCTATTCTAAGAGCTTTAATTCTCTCATTGTTTACTACTTTTTCATTACTTAAAAGTGAGGGAAAAATACGAGTGTTCATTGTGCTAAACTTTGTAATACTTGAGTGATACACTTCGTAGTAAAATTATAATACTCGAAGTTGTTTAAGTGTGTTAACTTTTATTTCTAGGATTTGAGTGTCTAAGGTGTAGTGGGAAGTACTACGGAGAGAAGATAGTGAGATCTTCTAGGTTGCTTTAGAACTCTAAGGGAAGAAATAAAAGTTGGTTAATATCCTACGGGTTGGACAACCCTAGGCGGAGATGTAGGCCTTTGTGCTAAACTTCGTAACAATTCCTTGTGTTTATTTCTGTTTTTATTTTTGCCTTATTCTTGCTTTCGTTCTTTGTTTTAAACAGTTTTAACAAAATCCAAAACAAACGTTTATAACCTTCTGCTTACTAACTGTTTTACTTTAAATAGTTTTCAAAGTCTTGATTTGTAAAACAGAGATCAGTTTATTCTGCCCTGTAACTGATCTCAAGGCCTTGACATTTTCTGTTTTGCGAAAAACGCCCATACTCTATTCAACCCCCCCTTCTAGAGTATTAATATGTTTATTCCATTACTATTGTGATCCTTTCACACACTAAGTAAATGATTGATACAAAAGGATAGTAATTATGCTGTAGAAACCGCGTTAATCCATTTACAATTCCTCCTGATTTCGCCTTGGTCTCCAGTAAGCACATTAACCTTTCCCAATTTGGCCATGGCTTCATTAAACATTTGCTGCCATTGAGCACTGTCTGAGGCGTAACGTTGGATTATATCTTTTGTGGTCTGTTCAACAGCTAATGATACATCGAAAGGGAGCGAGCCCCTGCCTTTCATAATGTGGTTGTAGAAGGCGTTGCCCCAATCGGAGTTATTAGGATTGTCGGGAAACAAAGGTACTCGTAACTCCCCGAACAATACTTCCTGAGATTCAGGACAGTACTTCTGCCTCTCCATCTGCTGGAACTGCTTGTCAACAAACTTTGCTGTATCAGGCATTTTATCCATCGACCCAACTTCTGCAATCGTGTTCTGGCATCGGGTTTGGCCTATCGAGTGTGATCCCTCTAGCACAACCATGTCCTGTAAGGTAAGACCTCGGTCTGCAAACGCTAGTTGCTGAAAAGCAACAGTATCATTTCCCTTAGGAAGGGCACTTGCAATGCCACCAGGTGTATTAAAAGAGTCACGACGTCCTGCAGGAACATCATACTTCGGGTTTCCTGACATAACAATCATATCTCGAGCTGCATATGCCAAAAGATCTGCGCAGGATACTACGCCGGGACACTGCTTCTCAACCTCCGTCTTCGCAGTATCTAAGGCGTCCAGGCCCCTTAAGGAATTGCCGTTTGCTGGGAATGTCATTTCTACGTCGTAACTGTTATATCTTTGAGGGGTTAGAAGGATTGAAGCATCACAACCCTGTTATGATCACATTGAGCTACATTTAATTTTTCACATTTTATCTTAAAAAAAAATCACCTCTAATTACCATTTTACTGCATTAGAGCTCTGAATAATCCCTTAAAAAAAAAAAGAAAAAAATCTTTAAGTCTACTTTTACATTAGTTTCTTGTAAGTTTGCAATTTACCATTAATCTCTATATTCATTATATTTCCCTTGCATATGTGCCATAGAATTTTTTTTTTTTTAAAAAAAAAGTAATAAAAATAAAATTTTAAAATAAAACCTGTTTTTTTAATGGTCACTTAAAATGTAAGAAAATGTCATATTACTGATATATTTTTTGATGGTCCATTTGATAATAAAAAAATCTGGTAATAATATTACTTTAATTTGTATCATCTTTCTTAATTAAAGGGTGTCAATTTATGTCATAATGTGCCGTGTGCATTGTGCAAATGGAATATTCATGAAGAATTATATATATATTTGAAATTAAAATGAAATATTTTTTATGCCTTTTATTATCAAAGCTTTCATTCAACAAATAAATGCAACATTATAATTTATAATCTAAAATGGTAAAAATTATTTCCTAAACGTGTACATAGATAAAATGCAAAACGTTTGTCTACCTCGCTCATGCAAGTAGTATGATCATTAGTAATTAAGGATGAATAATATGAGTTTTGTTATAAACTTACCGTGATATAACAATCATGAAAGTGAAGACGGATAATACCAGGAACAATTCCTGGATTCTCTTGTGATTTTTTACGAACAACATCACCAATTATTTGCTCTACATTTGGGCAACTTAAATTGTAGAAATCTACTCTAAGTTTGTCACTAATCGCAGTCGTATTTATTTCTCCTCCCCGAGATGGAGATGGAGATGGAGACGGAAATGGTCCGGAAGGGAATAAAGGAGACGATCCGGGTGGGAACGGAGATGGGGATGAAGAATGATTAGTAAGGCCTATAATGCTAAGAAGGGTCGTGAGGATGGCTAAGGGGGACTCCATATTTGGTACCCTCACCAAATCACCCCCTCTTTATTTGGTAAATCATTAGAATTTGCACCTTTGTTAAGTGTTTATCCGTTTTAAAAATAAAATTCCGTGATGGTTGGATGACAACCAAGAATGGTTGTGATAATGATACCCCCATTTTTATATCTTTCAGGCTCATATTAATTAAGTCTGTCACTTATAATTTTTTTAGAACGCGTAAGTTATATATAAATCATTTAAGGTGGCTTATAATATTTAGAATGTGTTGGGAGTTAACATTCCAAGAAACAAATACACGTACATTTTGTTATTAATTAACTTAGGTTTACAAAAGAGTGAGTACGTCATTAGCATTTAATTAAAAATTGATAATTACACCTTGAATCAAAAAGTTTAGGATGTTATAGGGTACGAAATATATGTATTCCTTACATAAATTAAAGGTCTCGCTCTTTAGGAAATTAAACTATTAGTTTAGTATATCCTAAAATTAAATCAAGTATATACTGATTAGATACACAGAGAATAACTTGGTAGTGGCACGAAAGAAAAAGAATTGTATTGTGGTTTTTACTTTTTAGGTGAAGCCATGAAGGCAAGGGTCGGACTATGATGACCTCTTCATTACTCATTTTTTGCTTCATTATCCAACTTCTACTCACCTTTTATCCGATTTCTCTACTATCTGATCTCTATATAAGCATAATGTTGGGAATTTGACCTCATTTTACGCCAACTTTTTTTATGTACCCACTCGGCCACTCAACTCGTCTATAAACGTTGTTATTGATCATATTTTGAATGTTTTTGTCATGCAAAGTTTTTAAAGTAAGGACAACATTTACATTATCTTTGGGTAGAAATATTTGGAGGGAGAGGGAGGGAATGGAAAGCGAGGGATATAATTCCTCTTATTTAGGTAAAACATAGGGCAAGGGAAGGAAGAGAAAGGAAAGGAAAGGATATGAAGGGATAGATCCATTTTCCTTCCCATTTTAATGAGCCAAATAACTCATTGTTGGAGTGATTTGGAGGAAAATTGGAAAGTCACTCTCTCGCTCTCTCCCCGCACTTCCTTTTTCTCCTGGCCTCGTTTTTCTTTCCTGGCCCCTCCCTTTCCCTCGCTATTGTCACCCAAACATAGTGTCATGGAGAGCGGGAATTTTATTTATTTTATTGTTTTTTGTAAGATTGATTTATCTTTGAGGTAGTTTTTGTTAATTTTCTTTTCTAATTATCTTCTGCATGCAGTCAGGATCAACTAGTAGTCAGGATCACTATTGTTGCTTTTCTAGGTTACTATATATATGATAGTTTGTTTTCCAGTAAAAATATAGCCATGTTATAATATCTTTGTTAAATTTGAGTTAATATACAATTTAAATAGGAAACTTTTTACGTGAGACGGGACTCACCGTGTGTCCAATATATATGACATTAATTAATAATCTAATATCTAACAATAATAATCTAACATTAGTAATCTAATATTTGACAATAGAAATCTAATATATTACATGAGTGTATTAGATTATTAATGTCAGATATTAGATTATGAATGTTAGATATATTGGACTCACCGTGAGTCCGACTCACCCAATTTTTTCCATTTAAAATATAAACGTTACAAGTTTAACTAGTGAGAAACAAAGTTGATTAACAAATGAGATTGGGGTGAAAATTTATTAGTTTAGGGTATTTTTAACTTTGTTGATAGGTTGGCTTTTGGAGCGGACAAGCTAGCCTAAACCATGCACACAAGTGACACAAACACTAAACAACTAACCAAGACAATTTCACCTCACCCAAGCATGCATGGTACGAGCCAGCCAGCTATAGGTGCATGCCTAGGTAAAACTTTAATTGACATGACAAACTTTAGGAGGAACTAACATGGACGCTCGGTGGCATGTCACGACCCGATATATGCAGGCTGTCCCCTAAGAAGACACAACAAGATACTAGGTCATTGTGTCTTTAAGGTCGTGCTGGCATCATCAATATTAGCTAATATACAAGTGACTCAGTAGTAAGTAAGCTAGTCTTTTAGTGTCTTGCAAAATGTCAATCTCTAAATATCATTGTACACTCAAGAACAAATTAAAGGCTACTGCAGCCTGCAGGAACAAATTTATCAGGCATAGTTTATCACTTATTATTTGATCACATTTTGTTTTTGAAGAACTACATGCATGATTTAGTAATGGTTTATGTAGCCGAGCCTGTCACCGAGATTAAGGATGTGATAATATTGTTGTTGTTGTTGCTGCTACATAATTGATACAGTAATAATTATATTAGCACCTCAACAAAATGAAACAAAGTATAGGAATACATACATACGCCTAAAGACACATATAACAACTTGAATGTGTCTAAATCGGCCTATTCATTATATGAAAACAAGAGCATGCCATAAATGGATTTGAAAGTTGTAACCCTAGAAAGAAGGGTGCATGTGAAAACTGAAGAACTATTTGGGAGGGACAGATGAGATAAACAAACATTTTAAAAATAGAATGCAATTATATCGAAGTGTGTATGCCAACTTCCCTTAGTTGAAAGGACCACCCTTAATTTTTGTAATTCCCAAATTTAGAAAGTCCAATGTTTTTTACCTCTTTATTTTCCGCTAACTCTTCTGAATTTCCAATGATTATTTTGCCATGCATGTTAATACTACGTTGTATGTTACCACTAGTTTTTCATGTTTATGATATTGACTAGCTGTTATGTTTCACCTAATTTTCCACCCTCTCAAACTACAGTAATTATCTCCACTTCAAGAAAATGTCAAATTACCGACAGCCAAAACTGTCAGTAATAACCCAAAAACCGCTGGTAATCACCACACCAACAGCTATCCACCGGTAAATGCTCATCAATAATCTACTCATCGGAAATTCCAAAATTACGGAGGAATTTGGTCATCAGTGCGATGGGGGATTTTTCTAGGGTGGTTGGCCATGTCGTGTGGCCGGGGTAACTCGAGTTACTCGGTCAGGGGTTACTCTAGTTACTTTTAACCGAGTAACCCCTCGAGTACCCCTGATCGATTAACCCTTTGAGTAACCCTTGACCGAGTAACCCCTCGAGTAACCCCCACTACAAAAATAAAAGTTATTTAGCAACTAAGTTTGGCAAAAGATTTTTAAAACTTTGCTAAATAACAGCGAAAATAATTTTTTTCATTGCCTAATTAAGCGACATTTTATGCTTTAGTTTTTTAATAATTAATGACTACATGTTTTTGATTTGTTGTTGTTTAAAACAAATTGTCTGACTAGTTGTTATTATATGGCATCATATTTTTGTCTTGTTGCCATATAGCAAGAAACTATGACAACTTATATTTTATTTGTATTGATTTAAAAACAAACAAAGGCAATGAATTTTTGAACTGTTGCCATCCATTAGATACGAGTTGTCGTCTAAACTATTGTTACTAGATGATAGTGTATTTTTAATTTGTTGCCATTTACCAATGTCAGTTAATGACAACTAAATTTTTATTTGTTGCCATTGGAGATACTCTTCTTATTATTTGTTGCTGTAATGACATCGAATTCTAGTTTATTGCCTTATAAACAAGTTGTGTTACAGTTTGTTGTTAATTTATAAGTAGGCCACTTTTAGCTATTGAGTATAACATTATTTGGAGACACTCTTCTTATTATTTGTTGCTATAATGACATCAAATAGAGACGGATTTCAATTCTGTCTCTAATTTAGAGACAGATTTTTGATTTCATCCCTAATTTAGAGACAAATTTTTCAATTCCGTCTCTAATATTTCGATCACTTATTATTAATTATGTGCATAGAAGTAAACAAATAGTGCTTGGTATAGTTGGTAAGAATTTCACCATGTGACTTTGATGTTACAGGTTCGACTCCTACCAACTGCGATTCTTGATACTGGGGATTCAAAGAGCCTTACATGCAAAGACGAGCCGAGTTGACCCGAGTGAGGTTTCGGATTGATAAAGGGATCGAGTTGATAGCAACCAATATTAATGATTTGTTACCTTTTTAAAACATTAATAATTTGTTGCTATTTTTAGGAACCAACATTTTTAATTTGTTGCTACTATTAGGAACCAACATTTATAATTTGTTACTATTTTTAGGAACCAACATTAATTATTTGTTGCTACTTTTAGCAACAACCAATGGTAATCTGTTGCTAAAGTTGGCAACGCATGCACTAAGAACAACAACCATCATAGAAACTATATTTAAATGAATGCAATATAGCAACAAAATTGCTTTGCAATTGGTAGCCAAAATTCCATGGCAGCAAGCCTTTTAGCAACAACAAATTTTTGTTTCCAACCCGTTGCTAACTAGTGTTGGCAACGGATTTTTGGTGAATAGCTACAAATTTTAGTTGTTGTTATATTGACTTAATTTTGTTGTGCCCTGCCTGAACCCCTCGAGTAACCCCTGACCGAGAAACTCGAGTAACCCCTGACCGAGTAGCTCGAGTAACCATAGTCACACGGTGTGGCCAGCCACATATAAAAATTTGTGCAATACGATAACTACAAAATTAAACTCTCTCTCGACATTTGAAACAAAAATCACTCACAACAAAAAAAAAATATCAACTTAAATTTCTTCGAATTCCTTGATATCAAATTAAAGTTAAACTAAGATCAAATAATTAAAACAAGGGATTAGTCCAATATTAGAGTGTAATTAGTGTTTAAAGTTGCTTGGAGGGAATGTGTCATTCAGAAGATAATTAAGTTGAAAGTCTAACCATCTTAGAAAACATTTTTTTTTAAAGAATCTTCGACAAGCAAATCTTAGTTATGCTTTTATATAACGCTTTTAATTAAGTATCTAAATTTGATTGGGGTGTTTATTTTATATATTTTTTTTCTTTAGTTCATCTAATAATACTATTATGCACTATGTACATATATAGAAACTTAAATATTGCAATATGATAACTCGGGTAAAGCCATATGATCCAAGTGTCACATTTTTTAACACAATATGTATTA